CTCCTAGAAAAAAAAAGAAAAAGGGGGGATAGAGAAAGAACCATCTATCACGTGGTGCAGAAGTGAAGCCAAATACATTATTCCCAAAAAAAAAAGTAAAGAAAAAAGCACTGATCTATCTTTATTTTTTCCTCGTCCGTTTTCTTTTTTTGTGTTTTCCCCCCCCCTCCTTCCTAGCACTGTCCACACGTTTCCACATTGCACACCACAAGGAAATCTTGCAGTCCTAGTGGGAGGTTCCCATGGGGCCACCAGCTTCCTGCGCGATTGCCATGCCAAGCCTCTTCCGCCCCCCCTAAGGTTGCGGCGCGTTAACGGCCGCAACTTTTTTCTATAGCTCGGCGAGGTACTGGTGGTTTAACAAGCACGTCAGCAATCAAATTGTTATGAAGACTTTTTTCTAAAGCCCGTCGAGGTACTTTTTTCTATTGCCCGCTCGGTGCGTTAACGGCCAAGACTTTTTTCCTATTGCCCGCTCGGTCTGCCCTGCTGCAGCGAATTCTGGAGGAGTTTCTCTTTTTGGGAGGGGGTTTCTGCCAGCGAAGGGTGTGGTGTTGGAAGGATGCATCTATTGCGGAAAGGGTTAATGTTAATGTTACGAATGCGAAAGCCAAGGAGAAGCCATGCACCTTCTGTGATTAGATTATGATTGAGAGCATGGATGCAAATGGAGTAGGCATTTAATACGGCATTGCAGCAGCAACACTAAGAAAAAAGCATAATCTCTCACCTTTCCCTAAATTTGTTCATGGCCAGTGTTCATATCACAGCATAATCTCTCACCTTTCCCTAGATTTGTCCACGGCCAGCCACACTCCCAATGTACCGTATCCACTTTTTGCTTCCAACCATCATGAAACCCCTCAGAAGGGAAATCACCATGAAGCCACTCTTTGTATGAGGTCGGCCTGATTCTGGCCATCAACATCAGAGGCAATCAAACCAGGTATGAACAATGTCGGAGTTGAAACTACATCCTCCACAAAGAAGTCAAAATTGGCGCACTTAACAGCCATTTGCTCTTTACGCTGAGCTACTAGTCTTTTGAAAATCTATCATATTTCAGTAGAAAGAGGCTATCAAAACCAGTAATGTGGCCATTTTCGTCCACTGAGGAAAGTGGCCATTTTTGCAGCATATACGTACCCCATGTCTGAGGTTGGCCTGAAGGAGTAAATTGGCTGACGCACAAGGCAAGGAAGAAAAAGGCCTGCTCAGAGGTACTTCAAGGTGATTCTACTGCTGCTGCATTTAATTGCCAGAATCATGCCGACCTCCGACATGGGCGAGGTATATGCCGCCGCAGTGGACAAAAATGGCCAGAATCACATGCGTCTAGCAGGAGTTCCTTTCAGAGATAAGTGAAGAATTGCTAGTGTGAGTACGCCCTGAGCCGTGACTGTACCAGGGCTGATGATGTCCCACTAGAACTAGGCTTGGAAATCCGGGCTTGGTTCCCCACAAGGACGTGTACGATTGTCGGTGCAGCAAATCGCACTCCGAAAGTGCTAGTGTGCGAAAGTGCTAGTGTGCGAAAGTGCTAGTGTGAGTATGAAAGTGCTAGTGTGAATACGTCCTGAGCTGTGACGGTACCAGGGCTGATGATGTCCCACTAGAACTAGGCTTGGAAATCCGGGCTTGGTTTGCCATGAGGACGTGTACAACTGTCGGTGCGGCAAATCGGACTTGGGATATGATGGAGTTTGTCAGGATACGTGGAAAAAGCTTCAGAGATGGGACACGTGCAAAAATGAGCAATCAGATAAAAACCTGTGCGGGCTCTTCCGCAGCCTCTTATGGAAAATCTGAACCCCTACCTGTAACCTTTTCATTGAGGAAAGAAATGCCCATCGAAGAAAACCCGAATTGAAAAGAAATGCCCATCGAAGAAAACCTATTTCTGTTATACAAGATTCGTATCTCGAAGGTACCAGGCTACCAGCGCTTAGCCCACTTCCTGCTGGGGGTGATTATATACAAGATTCGTATCTCGAAAGTACCAGCGCTTAGCTCACTTCGTGCAGGGGGTGATTGAAGGATTCCATTGTATCCGTTTTCAGTTCATCGCTGACCACAGTTCTATTTGTTTCTTGGTGGCGCGCCTGTAAGTCCTAACTAGCAGATCGAGCCTAGTCTCCTTTCTCTGGATGTACCGGTGCTACTGGTGGTTCCAAAGTCCCAACTAGCAGATGGAGTAGTTTCCCCAACCTGAAATCAACGGAACCAAAGCACTAGTGAGTCGGTGTACAGCGGAACCTGACATGGTGTTACAACCTTGAGCGGCGCTGCCAGCCCTTCCCTCTACTGTGCCCTGCGCTGAGATTGCAATGCATTGGCTGCGGCATTCCGAGGAAACACCACGGAAAGTAGCTAGGCTGGTGGTGCATGAAGTCCCGGCATAGCCCGATGAATGGTGTTGTGCTTTGTGGGAAGGTAGTAGTATTATCATATGTTGAAAAGCTTGTTGGTGGAAACGANCATGAAGTCCCGGCATAGCCCGATGAATGGTGTTGTGCTTTGTGGGAAGGTAGTAGTATTATCATATGTTGAAAAGCTTGTTGGTGGAAACGAATATCCAAAGGAAAATGAATCTTGATTTTGATCGATTGATTGATTGATTGATTGGGATGTGGTCGATAGACTGGCAGATTAATTTTCACCTTTTTTTTTTTTCAATTTATGGATTCATCGATTGATTGATTGATTGATTGGTGGGAGGGGACTCGCCACCCC